CAGCCGTCTGTAAATCCACATTTCAAATGCTTCTAGTTTCTTCAAGTGGTTTTCTGTCAGAGACCAACTCTCTACTCCATATTTATATAGCTACCCATTTCACAAGAAGGGATTCTAGGCAGCATACAATAGTCAGTAAAAAGGAAAATGTCTGTATAAAAACAAACATTTAAAAATAGAAAAATCAGCATTAAAATGGAGAGGATTAAAACTAAAATATATATACAGACCCCAAGCAGAGAAAAGAGAAGGTACATCCATCTCAATAGAGAGCTTTCTAAACAAGTCTTCGGTTCCTTGGGACCCCCAAACTTGATTGCATGATCTACCAGTGCAAGGCAGACAGCAAAATTTTCCCAAATATAGATCACATAACCATTGCTCCAATAGGATTACTAGATTGGGAATGTGATCACTGGCCTGTGTTGGGCTCTGGATGGCCTGGAATAGACTTCTGGCTATCATGGTGGTCATGAACTCCTGAATCCCCTCAGACCCCATTCCTAGCAAAGGGAGATTAAAGTCCCTCAGAACCATAAATCTGGGGAACTCTGCTGTCAACCCAGAAATGGGATTAAGGAACTGAGGCAGGGAAGTTATGAATCAGAAAAGGTGGCACAACAGCAGCAGTCCCAACTGATTCTTAGAGCCCAATGTAATGAACAAGGTGTCACATCCAGAAACGTGGATATATTCTGAACTGAGAGAAATTTAATCCGACATTTGGAGTAAATTGGCCTTTGAGTTCTGCACATGTCATAGAGTGGGATTCACTCTTTCAAGAAAATTGTAGTGACTTGCACAACACACTTCTCAACTGTATGGGAGAAGTAAGGAAGAGCTATAACTGAGGAATTAAAACATACACCCACAACAAAATATATATCAACTCTAATGATAAAACACATAATTTGTCTCTAAACTGGTTGCCTTCAATAGAATTTTAAAATATACATGTAGACAAATAAGTTAAAAAGATATACGACAGAAAACAAATCCATTCTGCCACATGTGCTTCACATTTATCTAATTTATAAAGTGATACATCTCCCATTTGCCTTGAAATATTTTTTGAACAGAATGAATTAACAATAAAACAGCCCCATTGAGCCTATCTCCAGCATATTATGAGCTCTGCGGAAATATTTCAAAAAACTTTGCAGAGAAAAATGGTGACAGTGAGTTAGGGATGAAGTATACAGGCAGAAAAAGAACTTTATAGAATGAGATGTCAATTAGATAAAAAAACAAATTATTATACCATTGGTATAACTTGTAATCTCTACAGAATACTTTACGCAGAGTTCATATATCGCATTAAACTATGCTTTTCTTCAATATGGTCAGAGTTTGCATCAGAGGTGGGTTTCAGCAGGTTCTGACCAGTTCTAGAGAACTGGTAGTGGAAATTTTGAGTAGTTCGGAGAACCGGTAGTAAAAATTCTGACTGGCCCCGCCCCCATCTATTCCCTGCCTCCCAAGTCCCAGCTAATCAGGAGGAAATGGGGATTTTGCAGTATCCTTCCCCTGGAGTGGGGTGGGAATGGAGATTTTACAGTATCCTTCCCCTGCCATGCCTACCAAGCCACGCCCACCAAGCCACACCCACAGAATCAGTAGTAAAAAATTTTGAAACCCACCACTGGTTTGCATAACACACTAAGCCAAAAACTAAATAAACTGCAATATGACTTTGTGTGTAGGTAGTCCTTGGGTTACGACCACTTGCTCCGTAATTGTTCAAAGTTACAATGGTGCTGATGATGGAGATTTAGAACCAGTCTGCAAAGCTGTGATCATCGCAGCGTTGTCACGATCATGTGATCACCTGGCAATCAATTTCCATTATAATGGTTACATTTTCTAATGATCACATGATCACCATTTGCACCTTTCCCTGCCCACTTCCCCCAAGCAAAGTCAACTGGGAAGTTGCTCCTGCCACTTTTTCACCCACCAACCCAGGCTTCAAAGTGCCTGCCTCCAGGATCCGGATTCTGTTGTTGCCTACCTGTGGCACTTGCTCGACTCCTCACTCTGTGGCACCCGTCCACAGCACCAAATATTTCACAGAACTAGTCAGCTTTAGCCTCTTCGGCATCAGCGGTTGTGGCATAGACTTGGATTACTGTGATGTTGAATGGTTTGCCTTGTATTTGAACTGAGATTCTGTCATTTTTGAGACTGTATCCCAGTACAAGTGATCCTTGACTTATGACCACAATTGAGCCCAAAATTTCTGTTGCGAACTGAAACATTTGCTAGGTGAATTTTGCCCCATTTTACGACCTTTCTTGCCATAGTCGTTAAGTGAATCACTGCAGTTGTTACGTTAGTAACATGGTTATTAAGTGAATCTGGTTACCTTTGCTTGTCAGGTTACAAATGATGATCACATGACTCAGGAATACTGCAACCATCATAAATATGAATCAGTTGCCAAGCAGCTGAATTTTGATCAAATGACCATGGGGATGCTACAAAGGTCGTAAGTGTGAAAAACGGTCATAAGTCACTTTTTTCAGTGCTGTTTTAACTTTGAATGATCACTAAATGAACTGTTGTAAGTCAAGGACTACCTGTACTGCTTTTCCCACTCTTTTATTGACTATGAAGGCTACTCCATTTCCTCTAAGGCAGGGGTGTCAAACTCAATTTCATTGAGGGCAGCACTAAGCTTGTGTTTGACCTTGGGGGGGCAGGGGGGGCATGGCCAACTCAACATCACTCGTGTCAGGGGTGCCTGTGGTAGCCCGAGCGCTCTGCCAGCAAAAACGGGCTCCCGAGCTCTGTTTTCACCTGCGACGGCCTCCTGCAACCCTCTCCCAGCAAAAACAGAGCTCAGGAGGGCCATCCATGGCCCTCACAAGCTCCATTTTTGCTGAACGAGGCACAGTGGGCCAGTCCTTCTCTGTTTCCAGGGCAACCCTGTGGGCCAAATCTAAGCACCCCGTGGACCGGATCTGGGCCCCAGGCCTTGAGTTTGACACCCCTGCTCTAAGGGATTCTTGCCCACAGTAGTATCGGTAGATATAATTAAATTAAATTAAATTAAATTAAATTTACCCATTCCCATCCACTTTAGTTCACTGATTTCCAAGATGTTGATGTTCAATCTTGTCATCTCATAGTTGACCACATCCAGCTTACCTTGATTCATAGATCTTACATGCCAGGTTCTTATGCAATATTGTTCTTTACCTTATTGGACTTTCCTTTCACAACCAGACACATCCACTGCTGAGCTTCCTTTTGGCTTTGGCCCAGCCACTTCACTCTTTCTGGAGCTACTTGTAAATGCCCTGCGGTCTTCCTCAGTAGCACGTTGGAGACCTTCCAACCTGAGGGGGCTCATCTTCTGGCATCATATCTTTTAGCCTTTTGATACTTACCATAGGGTTTTCTTGGCAAGGATCCTGGAGTGGGTTGCCATTTCCTTCTTCAGTGTACCATTTTTTGTTAGAACTCTCTACCATGACCTTTCCATCCTGGGTGTTCCTACACCACGTAACTCATGGCTTCATTGAGCTGCACAAGCCCCTTTGCCACCACAAGACAGTGATCCATGAAGACAATACAATTGATGGTTGATCCTAAAAGGCAGAAGTATCCACTATTTCAATGTATTCTTTGTTAAAAAGCCGCGGTAGCGCAGTGGTTAGAATGCAGTACTGCAAGCTACATCTGCTGATCACCGGCTGCCAGCAGTTTGGCAGATCGAATCTCACCAGGCTCAAAGTTGATTTATCCTTCCATCCTTCCGAGGTCGGTAAAATGAGGACCCAGATTGTTGGGGGCAATAACTGACTCTGTAAAATGCTTAGAGAGGGCTGTAAAGCACTGTATAAGTCTGTTAACTTCTAACTGCTTTAAGGTTGGTTGCTGTAGCTGTTGTTACTTTGGTTTTCTTTATATTTAATTTTAGTCCCACATTGTCTTCACCAACTACTATCATCCAAAACTTATCTTCTCCTTCAGAATTCTCTTCTCGTTGCCTACTTGTCAAAAGCCATAAGGATTAGCACCAAGCACCCTTGATTATTTGGCATCAGGCTTGGAGATTGAAGAGCTCCAAAATAACACTGTAATAAAATGACATTTTATATATCGGTATTTGAGTAGATTGTACTCCAGTGTATTAAATGTACTTAATATACTTAGAAACTGCCTTTCTAAGTAATTTAATAATAATAATAATAATAATTTTATTTCTATACCGCCCTTCTCCCGAAGGACTCAGGGCGGTGTACAGCCAATTTAAAAACACAAGACAAAACAATGATTAAAAATTAAAATAATTAAATAGATTTGGCCCGGTTTAAAACCCCGAAAATTTAAAATACTCCAATTTAAAATTATTATGTTGATAGCCCGGCCTGGTGGAACAACAGGGTCTTCAGTGCGCAGCGAAACACCCGGAGGTCGGAGATCTTACGTAAATTTGTTTTTTAAAAGTCATGGATAGTACCGGTAGCCTTACAGCCATCATTCAGCCTAACATTTCTATTGCTAAGCGAGGCATTGAAGTAAATTTTGCTCCATTTTATGACCTTCCTTGCCACATTTGTATCAAAAACTATATCAAGAATAGACTCAGAAAGCTCATGCTGTTGTAAAATTCCCACGCTGTACAGTACTCATTTATTTGAGAATAAATACGGTTGAATTCAGACGGGCCTATTTCGAAATGGGAATGCACACAGGATTGCTTAATAAGCCTGTTAGCTTTTAATGGTACTGCCTGATTCTCTATTTGTCTAATGAAAATTAGACAAATTTTCATTAGACAATTTTCATTCTTCTTTGCCTAGAATTTCCGAAGGAGGCAGACACCAAACAAGCTCAGAACTACGGGTTGATTTTTTTTTTTTTTTTTTAAACCGCCTCTTTGAAATTGCCAAGAATCCGTTGTGATTTCATCTAAGGGCGGAAGAGGAGACCTTTCGAACCGGGAAAGGTCTCTGACGCTGGCGGAAGTGCGTGAAACTCCGGGCGGATATAAAGATGCTCAGAGGGCTTTCGTTTCTCGTGCCTTCTCGGTTGCTAGGAGGGGGCCTGGCTCCAGCTTCTCAGTACTGAACAGGTGAGGACCAGGGAGGGCGAAGGCTGCGCAGTCTTTTTCTTTCTTCTTTCCGCCTAGCAAAGACGTAGGCGTAACCTCCTGGCGGGAGGGGGGGTTGCTTACAGTATTTGTTTCCCACGGGGGAATGTCAGGGCCAATACGGGGGAGAGAATTGCTGGGGTAGAAACCTCAGGATTTTTTTTTTTTAAGGAAGGCTGTAGGAATCTTGGGAATTGTAGTCCCTACAATGCTGGAGGGCATCATCTGGGGCAGGGGTCTCCAATCTTGGCAACTTGAAGACTTGTGGACTTCAACTCCCAGAATTCCTCAGCCAGCAAAGCTGGGAGTTGAAGTCCACAAGTCTTCAAGTTGCCAAGATTAGAGACCCGTGATCTGGGGAATATCTGGTATACCTGGGGAAGATCTGAATGCTCTGGGAAAGGGGCAACCTCATTTTATTTGTGATATTCCATCTTTTTTTATTTTACAATACCTTAAGAGGCACAGAAGGTTAGTCCTATCCGTGATTTATTGAACTACCAGCAGTACTCCACGGCGTAAATTTCGAGTTTCTTAAAAGTAAGGAGTAGGAAAACTTAGAATTTTATTGTGGACAGTGTCACCTTGGGGAGAGGGCTGTTTGTGCTGGAGTTATTCATCAAATCACCAAGCTGATGAACTGGGTTTTTCTTGTACCAGTTTTCACTGCCAATTGTCTATGAACCGTGGAATGGACTTCCAAACAACGCTTTTGGCCTGTTATCCCCTGCCATTTTTATTTTCTAAGATGTGAGCCCAAAGGCATTTTTATAAATTGTATATTAATTTATATAATTTATAAATTATATTAAATATTAATTTATAAATTATATATTAATTTATATTTCCAGAAGCACACTTCTGGAAAGTGGTAGCCCACTTCCATTTTTTATATTATGAAGATATGTGTTTAAAAAGTTGGAGTAGGACAAGTGTGTGTGTTTCCTGATTTCTTAAATTCAAGGTAGTGGAAAATGGGAATGCTGTGATATAGTGACACAATGGCTAGGTCACTTTTATCCATGGCATCTTACAAAGTGACTGTAGGCCACACGCTTTCTCTCGGCCCAGCCTACTTCACAAGCCTGTTGTTGGAATAAAATGAAGGGGGATCTCTGGAAACTGCCTTCAGTTTTTTGAAGAAAAGATGTTAATCTAATAAATAATGATTTTTTTAAAAAACTATACCTGGCATACCTTTAATGCCATTTAGCTCAGAAGAGCTTGCTTCTGATAGTAGGAATGCATTATAAAGAAAACAGATATTCCCTTTTAAAATTTAATGTTCTGTCTTATTTTTACTAGCTTAGTTCGTCAGATGTGTTGGGTTGCAGTTCTCGTGTTCTACAGCCATCTTATACCCATACTGGCTTATTTTATCAATTTGTCTAATCAGAATTGGACCGGTTTTCAACTGTTATTCTTTTAACATTTAATTTCAGTTCATAGTGAAGATCTCTTGTATTAGCCTCCACAATCTTTTCTCTGAAATCCTTTATGCACTAAAGTTACCATCATGCATTCAGGGAAAAGAGCTCAAACCTAGAGAAGCTTATGAAGGCATAATAATGTTGGTGTTTAAGACAATGTTTCTCAATGCTTTTAAAGTGGAAATCCTAGCTAAATGTATTTAACCTCTTGAGCTCCATTGATACTGTCTCCACCATTCAATCTCAAACTTTTTTTCTTGGCAAATGTAGAAGAGCATTAGCTCTTAGATTACAAGACAACTGTAGAAGAGCCTTGAAGCAAATATGAAGCGACCGTTAGTAAGACATGAACTTATTCCAGAAGAAAAAAAAAGTTTTGAGAGAGAAATTCAAGATAGCCCTGACTGTGTGGTTTAAGAGAGAGAGAAACTGGATCTGAATTATCAAATCAATATATCCTGGCCTTATTGCCTGGGGAAAAGCCAGTCTTCACCTCCTTTCTAAAGGCTAATAGAATCAGGATCAGCCATATCTTTTGAGGGAGGCTGTTTCATAAGGAAGGCACCATAGCAGAAAAGGTACACCTCTTTAGGCCTTATCAGGTTTCACCATAAGGACCTGGAGCAATACTAATTTGCCAACCACCGTGGATACAGAGTCCTACAAGTACAGGTAGTCCTTGACCTTATGTCCACAACTGAGCCCAAAATTTCTGTTGCTAAGTAAATTTTGCCCCCATTTACAAACTTTCTTGCCACAGTAAAGTGAATCACTGCAGTTATAGAGTAAGTAACAAGGTTAAGTGAATCTGGCTTCCCCATTGACTTTGCTTGTAAGAATGTCACAAAGGGTAATCACATCACTCCGGGACACTGCAACCATCATAAATATGAATCGGTTGCCAAGCATCCAAATTTTGATCACATGACCAGGGGAATGCTGCAACAGTCATAAGCATGAAAACAGGCATAAGTCACTTTTTTCAGTACTGTTGTAATTTTCAATGGTCTCTAAATGAACTGTTGTAAATCGACCTGTAACATGGAGGCTTAATTAACTCTAATCAGCTGATTCCCCCCAAATCTGTTGTAAATTAGTTGCCTGGGAATTGATCCTTCTTTCGGCTTTTGATACCATCGATCATGATATCATGCTGCACCGGTTGGAAGGGTTGGGGGTGGGAGGCACTGTTCTACAGTGGTTCTCCTCCTTTCTCTCTGACCGGTCGCAGTCTGTGTTGACAGGGGGACAGAGGTCGACCCCGAGGCCCCTCATATGTGGGGTGCCGCAGGGGTCGGTCCTCTCGCCTCTCCTGTTCAACATTTATGTGAAGCCGCTGGGCGAGATCATCCGTGGTTTCGGGGTGGAGTACCATCAGTACGCTGACGACACCCAGCTGTACATCTCCACCCCGGATCACCCCAACGATGCCCTTGAAGTGATGTCCCGGTGCCTGGAGGCCGTACGGATCTGGATGGGGAGGAACAGGCTCAGGCTCAACCCATCCAAGACCGAGTGGCTGTGGTTTCCGACGTCCCGATATAATCAGTTGACGCCATCACTGACTATTGGGGGCGAATCACTGGCCCCCACGGAGAGGGCTCGCAACTTGGACGTCCTCCTGGATTCACGGCTGTCTTTAGAAGAGCACCTGACGGCCGTGACTGGGAGGATTTTTTATCAGGTTCGCCTGATTCGCCAGTTGCGTCCCTTTCTGGATCGGGACTCGTTACGCACGGTCACTCATGCCCTCGTCACCTCCCGCCTGGACTATTGTAATGCTCTCTACATGGGGCTCCCCTTGAGGAGCACCCAGAGGCTCCAACTGGCGCAGAGTGCAGCCGCGCGGGTGGTGATGGGAGCGTCATGGCGCTCCCATGTGACACCTCTCCTGCGCGAGCTGCACTGGCTCCCGGTGGTCTTCCGGGTGCGCTTCAAGGTTTTGGTTACCACCTTCAAAGTGCTCCATGGCTTAGGACCTGGTTATCTACGGGACCGCCTACTACCACCAATAGCCTCCCACCGGCCAGTACGCTCTCATAGAGAGGGACTCCTCCGGATGCCGTCAGCCAAACAGTGTCGGCTGGCGACCCCTAGGGGGAGAGCCTTCTCTGTGGGGGCACCTACCGTCTGGAATGAGCTCCCCCCAGAGATACGGAGGATTCCGGATCTGCGCACCTTCCGCCGCGCTGTGAAGACTTTTTTATTCCATCAAGCGGGCTTGGCCTAATCTCCTCCCTCTTTTAATATGTAAATTTTAATCTGTTTTTAAATTATTGGGGTGTTTTAATCTGTCTGGGCCAAAATGATTTAATTTGATTTTATCTGGTTTTAAATTTTGTGTATTTATGTATTTTATTGCTTGGCTGTTCACCGCCCTGAGTCCTTCGGGAGTAGGGCGGTATACAAATCAAATAAACTAAACTAAACTAACTAAACTTTCTCAGTGCTGCACTGTTTTCTCAATAGCACCCTCTCAAGCACCGGGAGGAATTAGAAATGGCTGCCATTTGACCAAGCCACAGTTGTAGCACACAAACTGGCAATGGATAAGATTTGCAAAGGGAGCGTGCATGTGGAGACAGCCAGGAGAAGCTTTTGAATAAGAGCCTTGATAGTACAGTGGTTTAGTGCACCCTGTTATTAACACAGCTGCCTGCAATTTCTGCTGGTTCGAATCTCTCCAAGGCTCAAGGTTGACTCAGCCTTCCATCCTTTCTAAGGTAGGTGAAATGAGGACCCAGTTTGTGGGGGCAATAAGCTGACTTTGTATAAATATACAAAAGGATGAAGGCTATTGCTTAACGCATTGTAAGCCGCCCTGAGTCTCCGGAGAAGGGCGGCATATAAATCAAATTTAAAATAAAAAAAGAGGAGTCTTGCAGAAGACATGGTTGCATTATTAAAAATTTGATGAGGCGCGCTTTGTTTGCAAATTGCAAAGCGTTCGAAGTCTGCAAACTATATTCATTTTGAATACTTTGTATATCCCTAATGGCTGAGTCCTTCGTGAAATGGGAATTGAAGCTTGCTTTTTTTTTTTTTTTTTTTTTTTTTTTTTTTTTTTTTTTTCAGCACCGGACATCAAATGCTATTCTTATTTTTGAATATTGAATTACAATTTAGTTCTCAAAATGCTTCAGTGTATTACATTGCTGAGATACCATATTTTTCGGACTATAAAATGCACTGGACTATAAGACGCACCTAGATTTAGAGGAGGAAAACAAGAAAAAAAATATTTTTTGGGCTCCACTCATCCTGCTTTCGCCATCTTTTGTATAAATATACAAAAGGATGAAGGCTATTGCTTAACGCATTGTAAGCCGCCCTGAGTCTTCGGAGAAGGGCGGCATATAAATCAAATTAAAAAAAAACAAAAAACATCATGCATGGCTTTCTAGGACAGTGATGGGGAACCTTTTTGACACCAAGTGCCCAAACTGGAACGTGCATGCATGTATGCGCATCGGAGCACCAGAAACCCGAAGACCAGCTGGGGTTTCTGGCACATGCATATGCGCACGCTAGCTGGTCTTTGCATGCACCTGA